CCCCGCCCTCTTTCTTCTTCCTTTCCACCTTCTCTTGAGCCGAGGGTCTATCGGAAACAGCCTCTCTACCTCCCTAGGTAGGGGTAAGGTCTGCGTACACATTACCCTCCCCAAACCCCACCTATGGGATTATACATGGTATGTTGTTGTTGTTGTTTGTTTCGTCTGTCCAAACAAGCTGAAGAACCACGGCAAAGTATTGGTATTAATAGTCATTTAACTGTCAAAGAGCAAGGTAAATCTCAAATGATAGTTACTGATAAAAAAAATCCCAAATGATAGTTATCAGCTGAAATTCAAAACTATCCTGTTGGGTATCCTCCACTTCCGGCCCAACTTGAGAAATGTTTCTGGCTAACAGTGGATTGAACTGTAGACCATATAGAAACAGATACATCTTTCCACTTAATAAATTTGTTAAATGAAGTGCACTATATATATAGGTGTAAAGAATGCCCTGTAAATGTTAGTGACTCCATATTTGATATCATAGAGTACTTGTAAGTTTTTGTAGTAGGGGATTCTTTACTGTTTTTGGATGTATTTTGTCACTTCTAGCAGCACAAACTTTGTGCTGTCTTCTTTTTACCATTCTCAAACAGTGTTGTAAATAGCGCCCGCCTCAGCGCTAATAGCGTGAGGCGTAGCGAGGCGAGGCAATGTCGCTACAGGGCAACTGTTGCGTTGCGTTTCAGAATAGAGGTCGCCTCTGCCTGTGTAGCGAGAGGCGACAGAGTGGCGAGAAGCGAGTGTGGCAACGGTTTTTTTAAAAAAAAAAAAAGAAAAAGGGCAAAACTTAAAATAACAGGTCGCGATTAGGGCTTGAGTTCAGAGCTTCTTCAACTTCGAACAAAACAACAAGAAAAGGTCGGAACTTGCGATTAGGGCTCGCACTTACTGTGCAAAAGTCTTCTTCATCTCAAAGCTTGAGGTTTCTTCCAAGTGCCATCTTCTTCTTCATCAAGCTTCTGCCATTGAAAGACCAGGTATGAGCTCTGAGTTTCCTTACTTTCTTGTTCTTTCTTCTTTCTTCTTTCTTCTTTCTTCTTTCTTCTTTCTTCCTCTGTTTTTTGACGAAAAGAGCAGAAACAGAGGTCTGTTTTTCTGCTCTAATTTTCGAGCAAAATACAGAGGTTCTTCACTTCCTCTTTCTTCTTTTCTCTTAATTCTTTTTTGGCTCTGTTTTGGCAAAATATAAAGGCTGCTTTGAGGCCCTTTTTTTCAGAAACATAGGCTGTTTTGAGGCCCTTTTTTTGGCTCTGTTTGCCTTTTTTTCAATTATTAACTTATAGTCTTAATTAGTAGAATTAATTGCATATTGAATTGATAATTTTTTTCTATAAAACAGCGTTGAAATGGCGTCATCCGATAATACTAAACGAAATGATATAGCTTGGAATTATGCTATACAAGGCTCGTCAAGATTCGCAATTAAATGTGTGTTTTGTCAAAAAACATATAATGGTGGGATAACTCGTCACAAGCAACATTTGATAGGTGGATTTAAAAATGTAATACAATGTCCCCTTTGTCCGCCCGAGGTTAGGGAGGAAGTAAACGTTTGTTGAAAAGAAAAATATGGCAAGAACTCAAATGAATTATGAAGCATCGGTGAATCTAATTGATGAAGATGATGAGATGAATGAAGAAGGTGAAATGGGACCTCCCCCCCCTCCCCTAAAACTCATAAGATAAATCCAAATACTTCTAGTGGGTCATCCACGGCACGTACGGTGACAAAAGGTTCTCTCAATCTTTATTTCTCGGCAAAACAACAAAAAAGGGGAAAAGGTGAAGAAGGTTCAGGTTTAGAAGCCAAGAAGATTTTGAGGGATCGCGCCGTCAGTGCCTTTGCATCATGGATGTACGATGCAGGCTTCCTTTCAACTGTGTCAACTACAAAACTTTTGATAAATTCATTGAGGCCGTAGGACAATATGGCCCAGGAATGAAGCCTGCTAGCTATCATGAAGTTAGAGTAACTCATCTTAAAAAGGAGGTGAAAAAGATAGACCAAATTATTGAGGAGCATAAAGTGGAATGGAACAAGTTTGGATGTTCCATTATGATGGATAAATGGACAGCACGAAATGGAAAAATGATCATAAATGTGTTGGTGAACTCTCCAAGAGGGAGTGTTTTTCTTGAATCTCATGATGCTAGCAACTCTTCTACGGATGGAAGCAAAATGTACAGCTTGTTTAGAAATACTATTGATAAAATTGGAAAGGAAAATGTTGTACAAATTGTTACAGATAATGCTAGTGAGAATGTTAGTGCGAGGAAGATGATGGAAGCTATGTATCCAAATATTTATTGGACTCCATGTGCTGCTCATTGTATCAACTTGATGTGTGGTGACATATTCAAGGAACACCCATATGCTTCAGGTAACTTTAATATAGTTATCTTTAAAGCCTTTAACTTTATTTATACTAATCCTATTAAGTATTAAGTATTAACTATAAAATTGTTACTGTTACTTTTACAGTTTTCACTAAGGCCGTCAAGGCATATGCTTACATCAGTCAGGCGCCGTCGTTGTTGAATTTGATGAGGAAATTCACAAATGAAAGAAATTTGGTGAGACCGGCCAAGACTAGATTTGCAACGGCTTTCTTAACTTTGCATAGTTTTTACTTGCAAAAGAAAAATTTGAGAAGGCTAGTTCTTTCGACTGAATGGAAAGATAATAAATATGCAAAGGAAGCTGCGGGGAAAGAAACTGCCAAAGTTCTTATTTCTCCATCATTCTGGAATGACGTCGTTCGGGCTCTTAAAGTTGGTGGTCCTTTGATTAGGGTGCTTCGTATGGTGGATGGGGAGAAAAAACCACCAATAGGCTATCTTTATGAAGCTATGGATAGAGCCAAAGAGAGTATTGCAGCGTCATTTGATGGAGATGTTAGGAAATATGAGAAAGTTTTTGAGATAATTGATACCAGGTTGAACAATCAACTCCATCGACCTTTGCATGCAGCAGGCCATCTTCTGAACCCGGGATTATTTTACAAGAACACTAGAGATGAAACTTTGGATTCAGAGGTGTGGATTGGATACCATGCATGTCTTGAGAAGTTGATCCCTAATTCAGCGACGATAGATCAAATAGGGGAGGAGTTTGGTAAGTACTCACAAGTAGAGGGCCTATTTGGTTTACCGGCTGCCATTAGAGCAAGAGACAGAAGGTCGCCAGGTAACTTTAATATAGATATTCTTATAACTTTAATTTAATTTATCTGATTTATACTTATTAACTTTTAAAATATTTTTCTATAGTTGAATGGTGGAAGCAATTTGGACATCAAACTCCAAACTTGCAAAAGTTTGCCATCAAAGTATTAAGCCTAACTTGTAGTGCAACTGGATGCGAGAGAAATTGGAGAGTATTTGAGCATGTAAGAAGTAGATTTATTATATTAATATATTCTATATTGTATTATTATTAGTATCTATTAATTAATCTAAATAACTTATGCGCAGATTCACTCCAAGAAAAGAAATAGGCTTGAGCTATCGCGTCTCAATGATCTAGTGTATATTAAATATAATAGAACATTGAGGCGACGTTATGAAGCTCGCGATACCATTGATCCAATTTTGTTGGACAACATTGATGAGGCAAATGAATGGTTAACTAGAGCCCCCCAAAATCATAAAGATGAACAAGTGTATGAAGGAGATGATCTTGATTGGGGTATTGTTTCTATGGCCATTGGAGTTGAGGAGAATATCTATGGACTTAGAGGGAGTTCTTCAAGTTACAAGGGAAAGGGAGTAGCAAGTTCAAGCCGGTCCCTAATTGATGAAGAGTCCGAGGATGAAGAAGATGATAGCCAATATAATGCTAACATTCATGAAGTTGTAGAATTTGAAAATCTTGAAGAAGAATAGATGTTGCTTGTTTTAGAGTTTAGACTATTAGTTTTTAATTTATGAATCTACTATGAGTCTATGACTATCTATTGAGTCTTTAATTTTTGGATGATATATTTATTAATATATTATTGTTATTGAGTTTTTAGTTATATGTATATAATATTTTATGTTTTTGTATAAATTGTCGCTTCACATCAAAAAGGCGAGCGCTTCGCTGCGCGCCTCTCGCCTGAAGCGGGCCCTCGTCGCTATTTGTCGCCGCACGCTATCCAAAACACTATTCTCAAAAAATGAAGTGTACTATATATATGTATTAAGAATGGGAAGCCCAGAACTTAAAAAGTTACATTACAAATATACCATTTTTACTACGTACAAATAATAAAAGCAAAACGCTACGCAACAACCCTAATTAAACCCGCGGTTTCATATACGAAGGAATGCGCCACTGCAACGGAAGTATATATATGCTACTTTTTGGAGTATCAAAGATCTTGAAAATTCATGTTGCCACTGCAACGGGAGATGCCCCTGGGCGGATGCCAGAGAGCAGAAGAATACGAGAGAAGGAAGAAGCAACTTTAGGATCTTTGTCATGCTGATAAGGCTGAATTTGTTGCTGACTCGCAGGATATAGTTTGTCGCCTGGTGCTTTCTAAATGTGTATATACGGTAAATTTGATTTCCCTGAGAATATATTGGTGGAATGTTCACTTTTAATTAGTCTCTCAATTCTGATAACTTAGTAGAAAAATGCTTTTGATGACGGTGCCTCGTAAAATACCATGGTTTTAATTCTGAATTTGTGATTATTGCCTTTTCTAGAGATGATAATAGCAAGCATTAACCTTAAGGGGTCGTTTGGTAGGATATATTACGGAAAACAATACATGTAGTAGCTTTGGTATTATTAATCCCTTGTTTTATTAGTTATACACTCTATTCAGTACTATTCTTATACATAGCAAACCATAGCATTAGCAATACCATTGTTTTTAATACATGGATAAGTATGTATAAAGAGAGAATTTCCCGTTCAAAACCTTCTCCAAATCCTTTTTAAAGAAGAAGGGTATCTTTGTAAACAAACAAAAAAATTCAAAATTATGCAATGCATATTATTTTTAATATACCAAATCAATCAGTCAATAAGAAATAATTTCGGCATAACTAATCTCAGTATTACTAATCCCAACATTACTAATATACCATATTCAATACTATACTTATACACGCTACCAAACGGCCCATAAGGATAAAGACTTAATTCTTGCATTATATACTGTTGAAAGAGTTGATAATGATACCATTCTATGCAATTGTAGTGTTTGTAATTGGTTGACTAAATAGAAACGCAGAGAAAGAGTTACATGCCTATGTAAACAACCTCATTTCAGAATTTGAACCTATTCAGCTAAACGAGAAAGTCTCCATCTCTCTTTAAAACTTATCATCTCTCCGCAGCTATCTGGTGGATAATCTGGAATAAAGGAACTCTAGGATTATTTAGAACAAGAAAGAATCTGTTTTAATAGTCAAATCCAGATGTATTTCTTTACTCTCTTTTTGGTGCAAAATGACTTCATTTAACGATGTAGAAGTCATGTTAGATTTTTTTAGCACATTATGAAACCTGTAGTGTTGCTATAGTGTATATATTCCTCACCACTCACTTGATGCTGATAATTATATCAAAAAAAAAATTATAATCACTCATTTACTCATGAATCTTTTTCTCCTTAATTTGTACTATTTTCTGTTATTATCCAACTTTCTAGTATTTGGTACATCTCATTATTTCAAATTTTTTATGTCTACTACACTCGTACAGAGGGATGATTATAGTTTCCTGGGTGAATACCAAAAGGGATGGATGAGTAATATGCACTTATTTCATGTCCATGCAGCATCTAACTACATCCCTTTCACGCTTTTCCAAAATCGCATTTGGGAAACGCTTGTCACCCCCCCCCACCCCCCCCCCCCCCGAAAAAAAGGCCTCTCATGCATAGTTTCACTGCTATGAATAGTTGGGATCCTGATATCACCAAAGGAGACTGCTATTTAGCAGAACATACATAAGTTGACTCAGAGTTTCTCAGAAAAGCAAAGATAGCACAAATGAGTTGAATATTCAATCGAGCAATAATAGAGACTAAATAAAGTGTCACTAATTGGTAAAGGGTAGGACCGTATAAAGCACACCTTTTCATCTTTAAGAGGCAGAACTTCACCCATCAGAGCAACCCGAGCTGGTAGCTGCATGATAGGCTTTGTCAGTTTGTACATAAAAGCTAAATATTCACCAAAAAGAAGGATGCTCTCTGTGAGAGGAAGGTTACTCCAGTAAAGGAACCAAATGGAAACAAGAAAGTGATATACAACATAATAAACCACTTCAGTGACTGATAGCCATATTAGAAAAATATTTGGAATGATAAAGAGGGTGTTTGGATTGGCTTATAAAAAGTAGCTTTTAAGCCAAAAGCCAAAAGCCAAAAGCCATAAGTTGGTAATACCTAACTTTTGGCCTTTGGCTTATTTTTGTACTTTTTATGCCTAAAAGTAAGTGCTTTTAAGCACTTTTTATCATTGCCAAACACCACAAAAGTTCAAACTATCAGGAGGAGAACAAGAAGTAGGCAAATGAATGGTTCTATACCCACTTTCTTGATGGACTTGAGTAGATTTGCCAGTGGACCTGGCATGGGACTCGTCACAGCAAAAGATCCACGCTCATCTATCATTGTGTTCTACACAGAAAGGAGAAACTGCATGTCAGGTATGCTCTATCTTCCAAATGAACAATCTAACAATGAAGTCTGCATCAGAAATAAAATTGGTATTGCTCAATAGCCAAAGAATTTTATTTTCCCTTACAGTTTCAGAAACTAACGTAGAGCTCTAAAACCCAAACCAGGAATTCTTGAATTAAAATAAAAACTAAGAAATTTCCTAAAAGAAGTTTATGAAAAAGTTATGAAGTCCTATAGCAATATCTGTTCGAGACAGATCTAATTATATCCTTGTGATACTGTCTCCAACTAATATACCGTCATAATCACTCCATCGTATATCGTCTCTGATAGCTATAGCTTCAAGAGAAAGGTTTTGAGAGAATAAGAATCGTCATTGACTAGAAATTAGGGGCTTAAGCTCTAAAAGTAAAGACAATAAAATAAATCTGACTTCCCAAGCATGTAGAAATCAAGAAAAAAGGAAATTACACAGAGAGCCATCGTATAAGGTAATTCAGATTATTCAACAGAGGCTTAGTTATTTCTACATAAAGTAATTCAAATCTTCTTTTTCAGCGTTTTTTCCGTCTTATTTAACGTTCCCCAAAAGCAAGTTTCCCTGTTTACAGGAAGGTCCTTAAGAAGCAGGCTTAGTTAATTCTCCAGGTGCCTTGCTTCTCAGACCAGTGAAAATCTTTATCGATACAAAAAAAGTTAAGCATCAACAACCTAAAATAACTCACACCATCTCCTCAGTTTTGATCTGTTCTAAATGTGATAACCCAAACTTCACCCCTCTTGTAGAATCTGACTTGCGAATCACAAGCCTGAATTTGTAATTAAGAGAAAAAAAATCCTACTCAAAATGGATTTGCAATGAGCTTCGTAATCCATATGGAAGTCCATATTGATCCAGATTTCTAATCATCACGCTTCGGAAAGTCTCACCTACTCTTATTTCATATTTCATTCAATAGGCCATGGATGCAAAAACATGTACAGTCTTCCTTTCCCTTTTCATATTCCTCCTTTTTAGCATAAAGATTTCTCAATGTTATAGTCTTCTGTTTTAATAATCTTATACAGGATAATTGGTACTTGAAGTAGATTTATTGTGGTAAAGGAACTAATTAGAAGATATGTTCAGTATCTTATAATAAATGGTGAAACTCTCAAGAGTTTGCCTGATGTTCTTATTTCATTCATCAGCCATCGTGTGACCTATAGGTCACGGGTTCGAGCCTTGGAAGCAGCCACTAATGCTTGCATTAGGTTAGGATGTCTACATCACCCCCTTTGGATGCGGCACTTCCCCGGACCCTACGTGAACGCGGGATGCCTTGTGCACCGTGCTGCCCTTTTTCAGCCATCGTCATCTTATTTTTTTGGCCAATCAAAAACTCTCATGTTCATAAGCTGAAAGTAGCTGAAATAAGTATGTTGAGATGGATATGTGAGCATACCAGGTTAGATAAGATTAGGAATGAAGTTGTTCGAGAAAAGGTGAGAATGGCCCCCGTGGAGGATAAGATGCGGGAGGTGAGGATGAGATGGTTCAGGCATATGAAGAGAGAAGCACAGATGCCTCAGTTAGGAGGTGTGAGAGGTTGACCTTGGTGGGTATGACGAGGGGTAAAGGTAGGCTAAAGAAGGTGATTAGGCAGGACATGGCGCAGCTGGAGCTTACCGAGGACATGACCCTTGATAGGAGGATGTGGAGGTCGAGAATTAGGGTGGAAAATTAGTAGGCAACCGAGCGTTTTTCTTTTTCTTTCTTCGATCTTTAGCATTAGTGTTAGCATGGTATCCCTCTATACTTGGATTGCTGGTACTATCTACTGTTTCATAATAATCTTTCGCTTCGATTTTTTAAATATCTTGTTGTTACCACTTGTTGCCTTTTTAGCCGAGGGTCTATCAGAAATAGTCTCTCTGCCCTCCCATGGTAGGGGAAAGGTCTATTTACACACTATCCTCCCAAGACCCCACCTTGTGGGAACTCACTGGATTTGTTATTGTTGTTGTTGTAGTAAAAGATAATTTACTAAAAAAATGTCGGGCAGTACCGAGATGAAACTGCATCATTACAAAAGGTACCAATATGCAGCCCCCTCAAACCTGAAGCGTATCTAAAAGTGTAGTATTCCATCAGAGTCAACCAAAAGCAGCATTACACCATATTTTCAAATTCTGAATACACCTTTTTTTACGAGCGAGAGATCTTCCTCACTTTTATCAAAGCATCTTTGATTCCTTTCCTGTCCACATAATGCAAAGAGGAATGCTCATTCAAGTCTTCTTTAGCCTTTTGATTTACATGTGTGATATGTCTTTACTATTTAAATTAATATTTTCTTTAATTTATAGAATGATTGGTATTTGAAGCAACTAAAATGTGGCAAAGGAACTATCTAACGGATGTGATTTTTGGTGTCATCGATGATCATTGTTACAAATTCTCAAGACTGGATCTTATTTTTCTATTTTATTCATAAGTCATCATCTACTCTTTCCAGTACTCGATGGGCATTGTCTAAAGTATAACAACTTTACAAAGAGTTGTAGTTTTATGCAAATCAATCTCCTACAAGATGTATTTTACCCATATTATGAATCATGAGTTACTTCCTCTAAAGGGGCGACAATGGTAGGTAGCTTTGTAATAATTACACCTTCACATATTTATCTTCCCTTTTTTCATGTTTTCAAATTTCCATTTAATCTAAGTTTCTGTTACTCCTTTTATACGTCCCCTTGAAAGCTGTTTGTTTTTGACAAATTACTAATCATATCATACGTGTATCTGAGCGTGCCATCTTGCTTATATATTTTAAAACTTCTTCTTACATGTAGAAACAAGATAAACCAAAAATAATAGTCAGATAAATTTTCCCCCAGCAAGCAAAAATAAATACTTAATAAATAAGATCTAAACTGACCAAACTGAGTTCCAACAACGCATGCAGGTCAAGAAAACAAAGAGCTTTCTGGGGTATCAACACATGAATCATGTTACTAGCAGAAAGTATTTGGACGACGAATATATAGAATACCGTCATTCACTCTTTGAAGGAGAGACAACAATGCACAACAAGGCAATTGGAAGGAGGCAGGAGGTGAGAATAGATGGAGAAGGCTCATTCTTGATTCAAAAAAATAAAAATAAAGGCTCAAGTCACAAGCATAAAAAATTTCTTTTTTGGTTTTTTCTTTTTTTTTTTTGGGGGGGGGGGGGGGGGGGGCACAATTTCAAAATTTCTCAGCAGCAGGGTGATCATGAATGCGTAGGGTCCATCTTATTCGTATACAAGCTTCCTGCTGTCATTTTTGTTACTATGAACACCATAAAACACACCAGATGTAATAATAACATGATGCCATCCACTATCTTGTCCAAACAAAAATCTACAATACCCTCAAGAGGATAACAACTTTACACTGTCAGCTTCCAGGTAAGCAATTCGATGTAAGACAAAGTACAACAATTACGCCTCAATCCCAAATAAGTCGGGGTTAGCGATATGAATCCTCGTTCCTCATTTAGCTCAAATACATTATAGTAATAATAATAGAAATTTTTTACCAAGTCTAAACCTGTCCCAACTAGTAGGTATCACCTATATGGATTTTCTCTTCCCGTGTGCCCTATCTTTGGCCAAGTTCGCACTAATTCCAAGAATTTGTAGGTCTTTCGAGACAACTTCCTTCCATATGATTTAAGGTGTATCCCGTCCTCTTTTACCGCCTTCCACCACCATAGTTTCACACCTACGGACCAGTGCATTTGTAGGTCGACACAGGACATGATCAAACCATCTCAAGCGACCTTCTCTCATATCCTCAATGTGTGTTACTTGCACCTTATGGCGAATATGGTCATTTTTAATCTTAAATAACCGAAAATCCATCTTAGCATTCGCATTTCTACAAAACTCATCTTGTAGAGTTGAACTTTAGCAGCCCAACATTCACTACCATATAACATAGCCGGTCTTCTAATTTACTTCATAAAAATAAATTTTAAAAAAAAACATAGCCGGTATTATAGCTTTTTTATAGAACTTACTTTTCACCTTGGTAGGCATCCTTCTATCACATATTACCCGGTAGCACATGTAAGACAAAGTAATTCATAGAAATAACAATGTTACTTGGTAGATGCAGATTAGAATTACTACAAAAATCCAATATCAAAGTGCTTAAAATGTGAAACTGATTCGTATTCAAGTTAGATGAACAATCAGAGAGTAGTTACTCTAGTAATACTTTCTTCATCTTTCAAGGTAAAATCAGCAGTAGCAGAAGTTTCACACAGCACGGGAAATAGAGCACTGAGCATCTACGGGGATGAATACTTCTGCTCCACTATTTAGATGGCTAGTTTCATTTCCACAAGAAACAATGTTTTTTAGTTAAACAATAGTTGGCTTGAATCCAGAGCTAGAAAGATCATATTCGGATTGAACACAAATTTTAATTATGTTGGAAGATTTTGAAGTCTATGCTACAGAAGAAAGAGCAAGATGAGGCGACTGCAATTTTTTCAACTGCAAGCATAAGTTGGCTGTGGGTTGAAAAGAAAGAATACATAATGCCAAACATTAAAATTATAAAATGTTAAAGGAGCATATATATACCACATTGTGCATATCATTTTCGGCTACCCAGACGTAGGGCTTGCCTCTCTTGACCAAATAGCGGACTTTTGAAGTGTATATTTCCCCTTTGCTGAACAAAGAAGGTAATAAACACACGACAAACAGAAGGAAAGGAGTCAATTTCAGTTAATAATAATAATCTCTCGTCATAAAATAAAAGCACATACCTTCCTTTAGCATCAGCCTTCACGGTATTAAGGTAACCTTGCCAATTTGAGTCCAATATATTCTGAGAAAGTGCGCATAGGATATATCTCAAGAATAGTACTTATAATTGAAGGAAATTTGTAAATGAATAAGGGGTCACTAACCTTGCTTTTTTCAGCAAATGTTAGCACGGTTGCTCTGCCTCCTTTAATCATCTCAGGTGTAAATGAGTTTGTCAATGGTAGAAACGATAGTCGGAGACGAGGGTTTCTTCAGGGTTTAATTCTGTTTTACAAAACCTGCGATATCTCACAAGGTAGGGGTACCCGAAGACAAGTAAAGCTAATTACAGGGACCAATAGCAAAAGTTTGAGACCCCCCCCCCCCCCCCCCTTTTTTTTTTTGATTAATTGGATACTTTATATATATATTCACTATTAATTTTTCTTTGAAAAACAATTCCTGAGATGCCTGCCCACACTGCATTATTTTCCTCTGGCAAAAGCTGGGTCTTGTCAAAATACAAAAATTATGGGATTGTGAGTTAAGTTACCATGCTTTAACATTTCCAGCACCACTTCAAAGTCAAGTCTCTATCACAATGGGCGACAAGCCTCGATCTAGCTATTTTTAGCCCCACCCATAGCGCTTGGAGCTCTGCCGTAAGACTATCAGCGATTGGGAGTCCCCTCTGAAGTATAAAACCCAGTCCCCCTACTGTTTCTGATTAACCTCCCCCCCGCCACCCCCCCC